GGCAGAACATGCAATCCCATAACACACCATCACATAACCTACCACTCCGTATCATGACACATCATACCATAACACAGAGCGCGACATACCATACCGTACCTATGACATGGCATACCATATCATGATGCCATAACAGCAGGAATCCTGACACAATATAGCATGATATAACGTAACATACAAAACGCATGAACTTACAGAGCGGATACTACATAACATACCATAGCTCCATACAACATAACGTCACATAACATGCTATAGCACGCCATATCATACTATGACAGAGCATATCATAGCATCACACAACATGCAAACGCACGCAACACAGAGCAGAACATACCACCACACGCAAACGCATGCACAACACGCAAACGCATGCAAACGCATGGAGCATTCAGAACAGAGCATGCCACCACACAGCATGTCATAATATGACATCGCGCAGCATAAACCATATAGGCATACCGACGCGCAATCTGTCATACAACAGCATATCACAGCATACCATGTCACACCATGGCACACCATACCACCACCGAACATGCCAGTGCATAGCATGACACCGAATACCATAACACATCGCAGCACCACATAGTTGAAAACAACATAACAATACACAGTACACGACCATGCCATAGCACATCACACCCGACAGTGACACATCACAGCATAGCACATCACACAATAACAAGGCATGCAATGACCGAGCGACACATGCGGAACATACAATAACACCACAAACACGATTACATACCGAACCCACACAGAACACAACATATCATAATCCAGTGTACCATACCATACCATGACAGAGCAGAACATCACATAACACAACGTCGCAACACATACCATTCCATAACATGACACGCAATACCATGACACATCGCGACATAATAAAGCATAGTACAACCTAATATAACATAACATACAAGGCCATACATGAACATGTCAGGACGGAACTGGGCCTGGCAGATGAAGCAACACATAATATAACATTGCGCGGCATGACAACACACGTCAAAGTAGGACAACGGCAACTTGCAAGCTGGTCCAGCCGCCGCGCTGGCCGATGCCACCAGATCATGCGCGCATCGTTCCAGTAGGCGCGCGCACCATTGGGACCAAACGCCGAAGGATTCGGTGAGGATCGGTCAAGGCAAAATAATTGTATCTTTTGAAAAGAATGGTGGGCCTGCACGCAGCAGCCAATATGCCGGCACGGCCGCCAAAACCAATGGAATGTGTGCGCGAGGTGTCCGCGCATGATCCAGATTTGTGGGCAAACTGCACTTGGTATTGTTCCTCTTGCAGAGGATGGTTGGGGGGTCTTGGCATTTCAAACAGCAGGCGATATGCTGATCCCCCCCGCAGTCACTGACAAACACCCACGCAACATGATCGCGGGGCGTCCGCGCACGATCCAGATTCCGGTGCTGAATGCATTTTGTATTGTTTTGGTGAGAGATGGTGGGGGGGTTGTCCTTCGCGCAGCAAGCAATTTGCCGGCACCCGCGCCGCCCCTCACAAACCCCGTTGCAAGGTGGTCCCCGGGGCGCCAGTGCGTGCTCCAGACTTCGGGGCAGAAAGTATTCTGTATCGTTTTTTGTCTGGGATGGTGCGGGGGGTGCCCGCATGAGTCCCTCATGGGTTCGGGGTGGCTGCCAGTTGGGTGGGGGAGGGGGTGTTTATTGATAAAGGATGACAAACCGTTCCCCAGAGGATCCCCCCAAACCACCTCCACCCACATGGCTGGTGGAGTTCCCCCCGCGCGTCGCCGACTGACCCCAGCCCCCCGGGCACAGGCCCGAGGCGGCGATGCACTGGCGTCGACTGCGTGGATCGAATTGGGCTCCACGTCGAGCCGCATCTCCGACCCGGTCTACTCTGACCCCAGCTGGGAGGCCTAGACACCCCCTCATTCTTCCAACCCTCCTCCTCCTCCCCCACCTCCCCCACCTCCTCCTCCTCCTCCTCCTCCTCCTCCTCCTACCTCCTCCTCCTCCTCCTCCTCCTCCTACCTCCTCCTCCTGCCTTCTTTCTTCCTCTTCCTCCCTTCCTCGTTCTCACCCTCCTCCATTGCTTTTCCTGTGAAAAGAACGCCTCCCTGTCGCACCCCCAGTCGCGTCGGCAGGGCGGGCTGGGCGTTCCGCCTCAGACTTCCTCACCATCTATGATCCTGGAACGCAGAATTCGCAATAGAGTCACGGACGGAGGGCGGGCCATTTTCAAAATGTGGCTCTCGACGAAGCGCCGCGCACATTCGTGCTATTAACACGTGCAGCAGCTTCAAAGATGACGGGCGGGTGGTTGTCAAAATGTGGCTCTCGTCTTTGCGCCGTGCACATCCGCCTTAACACACTGCCGCAGTTTCAAGGATGGAGGGCTGGCGGTTTTCAAGTGTTGTTCTCGCCCTAGCGCCGCGCGCGTCCGCTTAAACTTCGCAACCAATTCAAACATGAAGGGCGAGTATTTTTCAAACTGTGATTATCGCCTTAGCGCCGCGCGCACTCGTTTTGAAAGTTTGCAAAAGCTTCATGGGTTCGCATGGTCGAAGTCCCAGGAATGGTGTTCTGGCAAAGACTCAGGAAAGGCAGAAAGCAGCAGTCGCATTGACTCGCGGTGTTGAAGCCCAGGGATGGAGTTCTGGCATTGCATCGGATTGTCAGGGCGTAGCAATCACGTTGATTCGCGCCGCTGAGGTCCCAGAGATCGTGTTTTGGTAAAGTTGAGGATTATCACACGGTTGTCTTCCAATGGGGCATGTCCCGTAATGAAAATACATCATTTTAGGGCCCTGCGAAGAGGGAGCTTGGAGGGAGGCTTCATCGCAGCATCGTTCATGCGTCTTGGGTTCGCACTTGTCCCCCTCCTCCTCCTCCCAACCTCGTCTTCCTCCTCGTCCTCCTCCTCCTCCTCCCAATCTTCTCCTCCTCCTACAAAATTTACACCATATGCATACTACTCTCCTCTCTCCCTGGTGGCGTCCGGGAAATGTCCGCCCCCCCTCTGCGTACTGGTTTGTTACACACAGGATACCCGGGAGTTGTGATTTCGCTTTTTGTTTTTTTATTTTTTTCCAAAATGCTGCTCTCGCTGCAACGCTGGCCTCATTTTCGGGCTACCGCTCATTCCGAATCGTGCTCCCGCTGCAGCGCTGGCCTCATTTCCGCGCTTCCGTTCGTTCCGCATCGTGCTCCCACTGCAGCGCTGGCGTCATTATTTCCAGCGCCATGCCACGGCATGGTTTTCGGTCCTTCCAATTAAGCTCGAACATCTAGACCATGCCCCCCCGAAAAAACCATCGGAAGTGATTACACATTCGGTGTCGATTCGTTAACCTTTTGGGCCGCAGAACCCCTCCCACTTTGGGGCGTCGCTACGCCATGCTATGTTAAGCTATGCGTCCTCATTTCTGCGTTTCCGCGCTTGTTTTTGTTCAAAATGCTGCTCTCGCTGAAGCGCTGGCCTCATTTTGCGGTAGCCTCATTTTCGGGCTACCGCTCAGTCCGAATCGTGCTCCCGCTGCAGCGCTGGCCTCATTTCTGTGCTTCCGCTCTTCCCGAATCGTGTTTCCACTGCAGCGCTGGCGTCATTATTTCCAGTGCCATGCCACGGCATGGTTTTCGGTCCTTCCAAATAGGCACCAAAATCTAGAACATGGTCTCCCGAAGAAATCATCGGAAGTGATTGCACATTCGGTGTCGATTCGTTGATTTTTCGGCCGAAGAAGCCCCCCACTTTGGGGCGTCGTCACGTCATGCTATGTCATGCTACACGTTGATCTTCAACACCATGGTATGCCATGTAATGCTATCCCATGTTGCGACACCCCATTCTGCGAATAGACAGGAGATCTACGCCATGGTAAGGGATGGGAGGGAGGGGTAGGACGTCAGATACGACGCGAACGCACCCAGCTTGTCCTCCTCCTCCTCCTCCTCCTCCTCCTCCTCCTCCTCCCTGTCTCCTCCTCCTCCTTCTCCTCCTCCTCCTCCTTCTTCTCCTCCCAGTCTCCTCCTGCTGTCACCCCCGCTGGGAAGCCTGCATGCCCTCGGGGGCACAGGCCCGCGGCGGCCAGGCCGCCGCCGCACGGCGCCGCCGCCGCGGCCGCCGCCGCGGCCGCCGCCGCGGCCCGCCGTTTCGCCGCGGCGCTCGCGCCGCTCGGGCCGGGCGAAAGGGGGGATAGCAAAATGGGGGTTTGAGAATCAGCTCGCGTAGCTGATTCTCCCGACGCCCCACGGCGCCGGAGGCGGCCACGCATCGAGGAATGGGCCCCTCGGTGGGGCCGAAACCAGCTGCATGCAGCAGATTTCGTAACCCCCTCTTTCCCTCGGGGATCTCCTGACCCGGGTCAATCCAGACCCGGGTCAGTCAGGCTCTGCAGAATCCTGCCAGATCCTGCAAGATCCTGCACCCAAGCCCGGGTCAATGCGAAGGATATCCTGCAGGATCCTGCAGGACCCTGCTCCCGAGCCCAGGTCCATGCGGCCCTGGCCCTGCAGGATCCTGCAAGATCTGGCGCTCTGGCTGACCCCCGTTTGCATTGACCCCCGTCTCAAGGCTCCCGACTCCCAATCGGCGGTGGACAAACCTCCCTTTGGTAAACCTCCCTTTAGTGAAAACGGCCTGGGACCGAAACCGATGAACCTGGAGCCGCAAAAATGACGGCCGCGACGCCCTCTCGCGAACCGAAAACGGCCAATTCGCCAATCGACGTGTCAGGGTAGGAGGTCTATCCACCTCCGTTTGCATTGACCCCCGTCACGAGGCTCCTGATTCTCGCGGCAAGCGAGGGGGGAAGTGAGAAGGAGAAGGCCTTCTCAGAAGGCGGCGGGACTTCTCAGAAGCCCTCGCGCCTTCTGAGAAGGCTTACAAAACTCCTCAGAAGGCCGGGGGACTTCCGAGCCTTCTGAGAAGGCCCGCCCCTTCTCACTTCCCCCTCGGGCGCGCCGCCCAGATTCCCAGTCCCCCCCTTTCGCCGCGGCGCTCGCGCCGCGGGGGCGGCGGACGGCACCGCCCAGCCCGCCCCGCGCGCGTCGGCGCGCGCCGGCGCGCGGCGGCGGCCTTGGACGCCCGCGGCTCGATCGGGCGTTCGTGCACGGGAGGGGGTTCGCAGAAGGCATCTGTACACCACCACCTACTCCTCCTCCTCCTCCTCCTCCTCCTCCTCCTCCTCCTCCTCCTCCTCCTCTTCCTCCTCCTCCTCCTCCTCCTCCTCCTCCTCCTCCTCCTCCTCCTCCCCCCACCACCGTACCAAGGCACGGTGGTGGTGTGTAGATGCCTTCATGGGGGTGTGGGCCTCGAGGGAGCCTCGGTGGACCTGCGCGGCCCTACAGTCAACCCGCACAGGAAGGATGCGCGATGAGGATGCCATGCCCCCAGACGCCCATTCCGAAGCGTTTCGAGCGGGGCGCGGCCAACGAAAGTGTCCAAGGATGGACCCAGGAAGCAAGGATGCAAGGGTACGAAACCGACGGACCTGGACCCGCAAAAATCACGGCCCCGACGCCCTCTCCCAAACCGAAAACGGCCAATTCCTGAATCGACGTGTCGAGGGTACCCTTGGGAGGGATGCCTATTCTTACTCTGCGGGTCGGCTGTACTGTCGGACTTGATTGGAGAGGACACGCGAGAGGAGAAAAGACCATTTCCGAGGGGCACACTGCCATAGGAATGTAGGAGGCATGGGTCGCGAGACACAGGACACAAGGGTCCCTTGACTTGGCAGGGTCGACCTACTAATCCGGGCCGACTGTATTATCATAAATGCGATGTTGACCGGGTTCCGCCCAGATTTCGACCATGCCTCGTCACACTTTCGTTCAGATGTCGGCCAACATGGGACGAATTCTCGACGAAACATCAAAGCCGCCTAGAATTTTGGGACCCTGCGAGGCTCCCATTAGGGACCACACAACGGGGGGGGTACGGCAAATTCCCAGATCTCCGACTACACTTTTTTCCAATCCAGGTCGGTGGCTTTCCGCGATTTCGGCCTCTGGGGCCCGCTATCAAGCCCCGGGATAATCAAACATGGATCTGGGGCGAAAACCTATCCCCAAGGAAGAGGTCGTCTGGGGCCGCGCGTTGGACAAATCGCATCGTCGGATGTCTGGGTTCGCGTCGTGGCGACCCTGGCGTTGGTTTCTGACACCGCGTGGATCGTTCAACCTTGAACGATCGGCGGCGTTTCGGTCGCCAGGTCGTTCAGTGCTAGTCGATTATGGGCCGCTGGCGCAACCTTGAACGCCCGCCGCGGGGTCTCTGCCACATCGGGACGACACGAAACTGCGCAGGGAAGAAACGACAGTCTTCTACAATCGTCGAATCCCACAGTGTCTTACCCCCCCCGTTGCCATCCGCCCGACCTGAGCAGGGGCCGATCGTCCTGGTACTCCTATAGGCATACCCAGGCATGGTGTTCGAACCAAGCGGTGTATTGACACAAAAACGCGAGTTCTCAGAACATACAACAGATGTCCTAAAACAAAGCTGTCTCAGCCACAAGTGTTGGAGTACCGTTTCATACAAACCATAAAAGGTTGTTTGCACATTCATTGGTGGGCCTATGGTGAAGCCCTCCCGAATGGGGTTTGAGTAGATGTGGTCGGAGGATCGCGCCGCATCGTCGATGCATCGGAGACGTCGGCGACGAATCGCCGATGTCGTCGTGGAGAAGACCGAGCTCCACGTCAAGCGGCATCGCCGATGCGGCACGGTCCTCTGACCCCATCTACTCGGACCCCAATCGGGAGGCCTGGATTACAGAAGCGAAACACGGAATAGGCAATCTTTCTCAGACTTCCGCGCGGAAAATTCTTGGATCGGCGCTGGACCCCCTCCAGGCGCGCGGAGCGCGCCAGGGTCGGGGCCCGAAGCGCCGCCAAGGGGGCCCAGCGCCGATGCAAGAACCCCCCGCGCGGAGTTTCAAGACATCATGTTCATTCAATGTTTGTTGTTCTTCGAACTTGGGAGCCCTGGACATGGACATGGGTCGGCAAATCGGGGCCCGCGGCCCGAGGCATGTGCGCGGACGACATGAGGCCAAGCAGCATGTTTAAAGAAGATGCGGGTGCCATTGAATGCGGGACGATACCATGGCCCGGCCATGACACCCCACCCCTCCCCTGGCCACAACCCCAGTCTTGGCCGCCCCGACACTTGGGAGGCCTGGGAATGGGCCTGTGGGCAGACCATCGGCTACACGCAAGAATGACCCTGGGTAAGAGTGACCTTTGGTACGCGGCTTTTTGGGGGCCGCGTGGGGACCAAACCTGGGCGCGCAAGCCGTTACTCCTGCTTCGTTTTCAGCCATCTGCGGACCCATCTGTGCCTGCACCAAAGGTCACTCCGGCGAAAGGTTACTCTTACGTCTAGTCGAGACCAGGACGATTCGCGACTGGTTGACGCGCCGGCGGCGGCACGCGTCAGCTGCCGCCACCGCCGCGCGCTCGCGCGTGCAGCGCGTGCGTCTCGCTGGCTCTTGCGCAGGCTCTTGCGCAGCTGCCGCCCACCTCAGCGGGCCGCGCCTGGGCGGAGGCCGCTCCCGGGGCGCGGGGGTGCGGCGACGCGGGGCCACCTCCTCCCCAACCTCCAGCTCCACCACCTCCTCCACCACCACCACCACCTTGTCCTCCTCCTCCACCTGCTCCTCCTCTCCTCCACGACTTCCTCCTCATCCTCCTCCTCCACGACTTCCTCCTCCTCCTCCTCCTCCTCCTCCTCCTCCTCCTCCTCCTCCTCCTCCTCCTCTCCCCTCGGGGGCGTCCAACGAGGGGGGCGTCCCAGAAGAGGGGGCTTCGGACACCGTGGCCTGAGACACCGAGACACGTGTGGGTGCCCCCTCCACGGGACGCACTCGAGTCAAAAGAGGGGGCCATGACATCTGGGCAGATATCATGGCCATGACATTCTCCCCCGTCCAGTCGTCACCCTCCCCCTGGCCGCCCCTGACCCTCTTCCTCGTATCCTCAACTCCGCTCTGTCGCACCACCAGTGAAGGGGCCCTGGGACACACAAATTCGCCGGCCCAACGGGCCAGGGCGTGCTAAGATCTCCGGTACCTGGTTAACAGTATTTCTAGTTCGCGCGCGCGGGGCGGCCCCTGGGGGTCCCCGGACGAAAAGTACCCCGGCAAGGTCCCGGCAAGTCCCCGGCAAGTCCCCGGCAAGGTCCCGGCAAGGTCGGGACCAGAGATGCCGGAGTTCTGTTTCGGAGTCCAAGAGGGCTCCAGATCGGTCCAAGAGGGCCCCGAGAAGCTTTCTAGACGGTCCAAGAGAGGCCCGAGACGGCCAAAGATCGCCCGAAGACGCCCCAGATGGCCCCAAGACAGCCCAAGAGGCCTCCAAGACGCTCCAAGGGCCTTCCAAGAGGCCTCCGAAGAGGGCCCCAAGTTGCCAAAATCGTTGATTTTCATTTGTTTTTCTATGTTTTTTTGCGTTCTGGCCTTTTCGCTTCCGGACGCTCCAAGAGGGCCCAAGAGGCCTTCAAGACTGCTCCAAGACGGCCCACGAGGCTCCCAAGACGGCCCCGGAGCGGCCCAAGAGCGCCCCCCAGACGGCCCAAGTGCTGCCCAAGGCGGACCAAGAGGCCCCAAGACGGGCCCAAGAGGGGCTCAAGAAGGGAACCGAGAACTGAAAAATCGAGCCCTCCGCCCCAGAAGGCGCCCAGGACCCCGAAAGAGGCCCCAAGAGACTCTCCAAGACACCCCCAAGACGCCCCAATAAGCTCCCGTGAGGCCCCAAGAGGACCAACAACGTCAGGCCCCAGGCCCCAAGAGGACCAACAAATACCGCCAAGAGCCCGCCGAAAGCCCCCCAAGAGACCGTCACGAGAGCTCAGGAGGCCCCCTGGAGGCCTCCCGAGTTCTCCAAGAGGCCTAAAAAGAGGCGCCAAGAGGCCCCAAACGGCCCCACCGAGGCTCCAAGAGGCCACGAACGCGCAAGCAAACGCCTGCGATGGCACAATACGGGCCGGCGGAATGAGCGAAGCGATTAATAAATACACACAAATAACAGGATTCCCTACATGTTGCCATATTTTCTAGGTTTTTGTCTCCTCCCCCACTTCCCATAGTTTCCCATCTTTTCCAAGGGATCGACGATTAATAATGTCTGTGTGCTTTTCCCCTCCTGAACCATGCGTGTCCGTCGGCCGGGTGCGGGGGGTCTTACCTGAGACTCTCGGGCAGGGTTCTCATAATTTCTGAAGGGGGGGGCGTGGGACACGTCGAAATACATGTGTTTCGTGCCCCCCAAGCCATAATCCCTTGCAAATTACGCTGTTTCGCGCCCCCGAGGCCACGATGCCTTTGTAAATTACACCGCATTCGCGTCTCCGAGGCCACGATCCTTAGTAATTTACATTGCATCTACGTCTCCGAAGCCACGAACCCTAGCAAATTACTCCGCATTCGCGCCCTCGAGGCCACGATCCCTTGTAATTTACGCCACACTCGCGCCCCCGAAGCCACGATCCCAGGCAATTTATATAATTGTCGCGCCCCCGAGGCCACGATCCCTAGTAAATTACTACAAATTCGCGCCCCTGGCGCCACGATCCCTGGTAAATTACGCAGCGGGCGCGCCCCCGAGGCCACGAACCCGCCTTGCGGAAGCTGCCGTAAAGGCGCTTCCCCCCTCTCCAAAACAGAAAAATTACAATTTTCTGCATTGGGATATGCGGTCCGCTGGTATTCTTTTGCCCCCCCCCCGTTTCTGGAAAATTCGGCGGTGGGTGCCACATTCCCCAGGCCACGATCCCTCGTCAGTCACGCCACACTTGCGCCCCCAAGGCCACGATCCCACATGCATTACGCCACATTCGCGCCCCCGAGGCAACGATCCCTCGTAAATTACGCCGCTGTCGCGCCCCCGAGGCCACGATCCCTCGTAAATTACGCCGCCCTCGCGTCCCCGAGGCCACGATCCCCTGCAAATTACACCAAATTCGCGCGCACACCCCACGCTACGAATCCACCTCGCGGAAGCTGCCCAGAGGCGCCACTGCTTCTCCAGAGCAGAACAAAATAACCTCCCAGAGATTGCCTGAAGCAATCCCCAGCCGTTCCCAGAGCGCTTCCAGTGAACAACTGGAGGAAAATGCCAAGAAGACAACAAAGCGTTCAACAACAACTTCAACATCTCAATCTGTTTTGCTCATCGCCGGCCGCCCCAGCATGACGTTCCCGAATGTCATCAAGACGGCGCCCGAACATCCCAATATAGCGCTGATGTATCACATTATGATGGAGCGGGGGCCGGCGGCAGGGGGCGAAGCCCTTACGGATAGTTTGTGCAAGAAGCGAACGATGCCTAGCCAGCCCGCTGATTTCCCTGTTTCCTCCCTGCACTGTCCAATGTGGGAGCTAACCGCTTAAAAGTACGCCGCAAAATCTGCGGGCGGCCCGCGACAACGCCATGCTGGACCCCCCCAGCATCCCTCGAAAATGGCGACAATTTCACATATCGCAGCCCCACACGGATGGCGACATCTAATCTGACTCTGCGTGTGTTGTCACTCCGCTGGACCCCCCAGCAGCCCTCGAAACTGGCGACAATTTCGCAAATCGAAGCCTCCCAAGGGTGGCGAGGTCTAATCTGAGTCTGCGTGAGACGTCACTCCGCTGGACCACCCCAGCAGCCCTCGAAAGTGGCGACAGTGTGGCAGATCGCAGCCTCACCAGGATGGCGAGGTCTAATCTAAATCTAAGTAGGACGTCGCCCCGCTGGACCCCCCAACAGCTATCGAAAGTGGCGACAATTTCACATATCGCAGCCCCGCAGGGATGGCGAGGTCTAATCTGAGTCTGCGTGGGGCGTCGCTCCGCTGGACCCCCCAGCAACCCTCGAAAGTGGCGACGGTTTTGCAAATCGCAGCCCCGCAGGGATGGCGAGGTCTACTCTGGGTTTGCGTGGGACGTCATTCCGCTGGACCCCCCCAACAGCCCTCGAAAGAGACGACAGTTTCGCAGATCGCAGCCCCACAGGAATGGCGAGGTCTAATATGTGTCTGGGTAGGACGTCGCTCCGCTGGACCCCCCAGCAACCCTCGAACGTGGCGACAATTTCACATATCGCAGCCCTACAAGGATGGCGAGGTCTAATCTGAGTCGTCGTGGGGCGTCACCCCACTGGACCCCCCAGCAGCTCTCGAAAGTGGCGGCAGTTTCGCAGATCGCAGCCCCCCCAGAGATGGCCAGGTAGGAGGCAAGCTGGCACGCAGGAAGGAGCGGGGTGAGAGGCAGGAGAGAAGGGAGAGGATGCGGGAGGCAATGAGGCGTGCGACCGCAGTGCTCTATTCAAAACGAGCACCCAACGCAAGAGGGTCGGGAAAAATGGTTCATCCGGAACGCTGCTGATTCTGCAAAACGGTATCCTCGCTGCAGCGCTGGCCTCATCTCAAGATCAGCGGTGTGTTCCCGTCGATCCGAATTGCGCTCTCGCCCCAACGCGGGTCACACTTCAGGATCGGAGTCATTCCTCGCCGTTGTCGCCATCCTTTCCCGTTCTCCACTGTTCCTCGATCCTTCAGCTCATCCTGCTCCTCCTACTCCTGCTCCTGCTGTTGCTGCAAGTCCTCTTAAGTCGTCTTGCTCCTCCTCCTCCTTCCTGCTCATGATCCTGCTCATCCACAACCTCTTTCTCCACCACCTCCTCCAATGTACACAGCTCTCTGTTTGCTTACGCATAGCAATGTGGGGGTATTTCTGGGAGTTCCTGACACCCTTCGGCGGACAACAGTCCACGTGGCTGAGTCAATTGTAAGACTACATCAGCTTCCAACGTTCACCACCTTCAGAGTCAGTGCCTTTTCTGATGGCGCACTGGAAATCTTGATCGGCCGCTGGCTCTGGTACTTCGTCTGCCTCACCTTCGCCATCGACCTCAGAGTGGCGAAGGAACCCATCCGGCATGTGGCACTGGATCGGGGGTCGTACCCAGCAGTCCAAGTCGTAGCCCCCTCGCACTTGGACCTGCGTCGGATTCAATCCCACTAGGGCTCCCAACTTAGCGCTTCGCGCTCCGCGAAGCGCGAATAACTTCGCGCTCTCGCGCCGCCCCCCAAAAGGGAGAAAAGGAGGACGAGGAGGAGGGGGAGAAGGAACGGGAACCGCGAATAACTTCGCGCCCTCGTGGCTGCCCTTGGTGTACAACACACGTGCGGCATGCGACGCGCGTGGACCGAGGCTGCCAGGTCCGCCACTCGGCCCTCGGGAGCCGCCCGCGGCGACTCCCCTGCCGACGCAACGGCGTCCAGTGCAGCAGCAACTTCCGGCTTGTGCCCAGAAGCTTGTCCAGGGTGCCGGGCTGATATCTCTCAAGGGGCCCAAGGACACACAAACAAGTGACACAATTAAAAGAAACTGTCCCATATGTTCTGGGTTCTTGTCTTCCCGCCCAATGCCTATATTTCCCCGTATTTAGGGGGACAGAAAGTGACATAAACATAAAAACTCAAAGGTCCGCGCGGATTTCTCGGATCGGCGCGCGGAGCGCGCCGGGGGCGGCGCCGGAGCGCGCCGCCGGGG